TAAATCCGTGGAAATTAAGATGTAAGAGGGTTCGTAGGTTCAAAGGTTAAAGGACAATAGGGATTTTTCATCGTGGAACAATGGCGCGGCGCGTGAAACGTTTAATGGAGTCGCGATCCCGGAATAGTTCGGTTCCTGGTGTAATAATCAATTAGCGCCGATCGAACGAACCGGTAATTTTAATGCGGCAAACAATGCCATTAGCATGCGACCCATTATCAGCGGTTGTAGGTGGTTGCTCGAACTGTGTCGCGGTGGAATTATTCTCGCGGGAGATACGAATGAAAGTGCTCACGCCCTATGAACCCATCCAGTTTCCGCTGCTATTTTACCTCGATAAAGACGGGGGTAGCGCGATGTTGCCGCCGCGGAATGGAAATACCGTCTATTGTGCTCCGGAAAAGTGGTCAAGGTGCAATTCATTACTTACATACACGGCACGCCGGCTGTTTTATCGGAATTAAATGCGATACCGGCCTAGGGAGTTGTCGATACGCCGCGCGGAGTGCCAGTTTTTCAAGTAGTCCTCGATTTTAATGGAATGAAAGGGAATCGAAATTATCGGAACATCGGCGGGATAATTAGAGTTCATTTATTCATGATTTTTCGAGTTTTCTTTGTTCTATAGTTAGCAATGAATGTGAAATGACGGTTTCACGTAGAAATATCTAGATCAGAAGGCAAGAAACGTAGAAGACAATTAATAATACGATCTTCAGAAGGAAATATTAATTGTTGCAAATGTACGAGACGTATTAATGATCTGCCGATTTTCATGGACGAATACTTTGACTTTTTTCGATGAATACTCCACGAACCTGTGTAATAAACGGTGGAAAATTCGCGCGCATCGTCTCACAAAGGAAACAAATAATTACGCTATCGGTGATCGATAATAAATTTATCGAAATTATACGAACGGGGTAATTAACTCTTTGTGCCCGATTCTATTTTAAATTAACATGCTCGTTAACCAAAATCAACTTCCGGAGAGCAAAGCTTGCAATCTATAAAATACTTAATTGCTACATAATTACGTCCGCCCTACGCATATATATAAATTACCGGCGCCGAGTGTCGAATTGCTCTGGAATTAATCAACATCAGGATACGTTCATTAAATTAGCAGATTTAAATAATTGAAAACAATCGCGTCCGCTGCGCGAACGTAGCCTCGATCGTGAATCTCGCCGCGACAGAAATGTATCGCCTGATTTATACATGCGCGCCGAATAAAAAAACTTTCCCGTGATTTATCGGGGGTGCCATGTTGCAAGGAAGATACAAATCTCATTAAACTTTCTTATACACTTTATTGCGCCCGGTTCCAGGAGATCGAAAATGCTATAACCGCGTAAAATCCGCAGTACGTTAATAAGCTGAGAGTTCTCAGTGAGAGGTTCCTTAAAATATCCACTCCGTATGATACAGTGTTCATAAAAATCTGCATGCGACTGCAAACTTTTGGTCGATACCGTGCGTGTTATTTACAACAGTACAAATCAATCGGACAGAGACGAAGGAAAACAAAAAACACCACATTTCCCTGTATAGTTCCATCTAAACGAAAGCCGGAGAGACATCGATCGAATCGTCCTCGAGATCTACAAACCGGCAACCGGTTCCGCGATTACAACGGTCACCGTCGAAGAAACATTCACGCAATCGACAATGGCTCATTAACGGTGTCTGTTCGGCAGCCGAACTCGCAGTAAACGGTATCAAACACGCGTGCCACGAGCCCCGTTCAACATCACGCGCCGTAACATTAACTCTTCGGCGCTCGCAGCCATCCACTCGAACCCTTCGTATCTCCGGATAACGTCGACCCATCGATATGCAACGGAATACACATCGAACGGCGTGGCTCGAGCCAAATCTGCATGTCTCGCGACGATCGCCGGCGTTTTTCGTCTTTCCAATTAAACGAAAACGCGAAGGAGAATCGAAGACCGACTTCGGCTGCGCGTCCTCGCGGCCTATCGTTATTCCCATCTAAAAATACTGTCAAAGACTCGATCGATCGGAAAAGGAGAGGGAAAAAAGAACGGCGAAACCGGAGATGAAAATAAAACCGTGAACACGTCGATGAAGATACAAAAGGCCGAAGATTGTACCATTTAACTTCTGGTGTCCGTCTATTTTTACCCGCGCCCGAACGAGTCGCGTCCAGGACGTCGTACGCGGCTCTCCGTTTTCGATATCCAGCGACGAGCGACACGTACACGAGCCACGCGCACACATACATCCGCGCAAACACACTCACACACGGAGACAGCCGTGCGCGACGATAAAATTCACGTGCAGAGGAGGTCGACCCGCCGCATCGGTCGCCGCTCGTTAATACTTCGGGGAATTTAATGCGGCCGGTTTATCGGCCCGGGGAAACTTACGAATTCAACGGTCGTGTATTTACAAATTCGCGAATAGAAAAGTTCCGATGAAATTTGCATGGCCGCGTTAACGGGGCCGCCCGTTAGCCGCGCGCACGCGGAGCGCGGGCCCCGTCGCGCGTGTGTGAGTCGGCTGGAATTCATATGAAAACTTTATTCAACCGTAAATGAGATTAACATTGTGCGACGTTCGTAACATATACATATATATATATACATACATGTAACAGACAGAGACAGTATTCGTCGAACATCACATGGAATAAGTCGTTTTCTCTCGCCATCTTTCTCTGTTCTCTTCGGTTTCGTCCCTTCTAACGTGTACTATTATAATATAAATGGGAAGCCGCTGGTCGAGCGGTCGGCCACGCACGGAGGAAAATCTATACACCGTGCACGCGCTGGAACGCGAGTTGCGCTCTTCAATTACCGGAGGTGCGAGGGAACTGTTTAATGGCCGTCACCGCGCTCACGGTTTTTAACGAACTGTGTTCATTCGAGAGACGCGCGTCTGTTTTCTAAACGGACGTTCCGGTATTAATCGAATAACCGGTGAGACGTAGATTCCATTTCCAACTTACGGATTCGCAGATGAAACGGGGCGAGCGCTCGCACGGCAAACACCGATAAATTATTGTAATCTTATGCGAAGCGCGCCGTTTTATCTGCAAATATGTACGAGCGATATCTCGGAAATCGTTCGAGGTCGGCGTATATTATAAATTAGTATTCTCCGGATCCTCGCGAGTAAACTACGGATACCTAATCCCATTGGAAAAACTGTATCCAGAGCAATTTCCGAATTCAGAGGGAAAAAGTGGTCGGTGGAAACTAGGAATATTCGAACGCAATCGAACGCTCCGTTCGCACCTCGGATATTCGAAGCGACACTCGCCGGTTGCCTTTAAACGCGTCCACGCACCACGCGCGGTGACCTTTCGCCGATGCGTCGCGAATTGCGACCGGGTCGATTAGTCCGATGATTCCGCGACGGTCCATCTCCGATCATTAGCGGTTTATTTCCGTTTCGAACGGCAGCGCCGGCGATTCGGTCGCGCGGCCGTCGTCCGCGTGCATGGTACGTCGGTCCGACCGGCGGTTACTCGTTTAACACGATCAACTTTATTATTTATAGAATTGGATTAGCCTCGTCGACAATGTGTACAATATGTGGAACAGCTGTCTACTATAGTGGATTAGCTTCGGAGCATGCGGCGACTCTAACGCTGCGATACATCGTGGTCCGTGACGATCGTCCGTGCTCCCTTCGTCCGTTGGGGGAGCGACGGAAAGGAAAACGATAAAATCGAGGATCGGATGGGTCCTCCGTCATTAGGATTTACATCGACAACGAACAAGCTCGTCGTATAGAAAATGTATGTACAATAAACACCGTCGAACGATCGAGATCGAAGTGTCGCGGCGGCGCGACCGAGGATCGAGCGATCGTTGTCAACGGTCCCCGATTGAATTCTCGATGGTTCTCATTCTCCCGCGGCTCTCTCCCGTTCGCCGACTCGCGTGCAGTTAACAACCGACGGTCCCGGTTCGATCGCGGCGGATTAATATTCGGGAACAACGTGTCGATAGTTCACGGTACGAAAACTGCCCTCCGAATCCCGGTAAGCGCCGGGCCCGTCTACGCGCGCACCTGAGCAGGGCCATTTCGCGGACGTCAGGTTAGAACTAATTTGGACATTATGAGCAAGGTCGTCTGTGCCGGAGCAGGGCAATGGAAGATAATGTCGTTAGGCTGTGCTGCATTACGCCGGGATTATCACGATTAATTACGCGCACCTGGACACGTAGGCCGAAATATGGAATATAACCGTTACCGCATCGGGGAAAGTTCGCGCCTGCACGGCGAACGGGGTGTCGGGAACTTGCCCGAAATGTTTGTTACCCGGGTGCGAGCCGATTCTCGTAAACACTGTCTTTAATTAAAAGATATGTCCCCTGTGAACATCGGCACTTGCCGGATTCGCGCGGCGTCGGAGCAAGTTTCGCCGATTTCTATGTTGCTTACTCTAGTGTTCCGAGTGTCTTCTATTCATGTAGATCTTCTGGATCTCTCGTTGCTGAGTGAAATTATTTATACGGACACCGATAGAAATGCAATCATAACGAACCGAGATTTATCATCACAACTACTAAACAGTTAGCACTGGAACTACCGTACCAGTCGAAATGACTGGTTTCGATTTTGTTTAGCGATTATTGATATTTTCGAAGCATTGAATATTCGAAATGATTTTGAAAATAAATAGCTTCATTTGAGTACTATAATGAATGTCTGAAGAAACTGAACATAATCCATTGTCACAATTTTTATAGGAATTGCATGTTAACCGTATTAAATGCTCGGTAGTTCTAGTGTTAAATACCCGAGGAAACTTCGGGTATACCTTTCAAATAAATTTTAACATTTTGCTTTTGCAATATTCTGCACCGCCCTGCACTTCAAAAATTGAAATAGCCAATGCTAGTGCCAGTTTAACACTAGAACTACCGTACCAGTCAAAATGACTGGTTTCGATTTTGTTTAGCAATTACTGATATTTTCGAAGCATTAGATATTCGAAATTATTTTGAAAATAAATAGTTCCACTTGAGTGCTATAATGAATGTCTGAAGAAACTGAAAATAATCTTACAATTTTAATAGGAATTGCATGTTAATCGTATTAAACGCTCGGTAGTTCTAGTGTTAATAGGATCCACACGAACAACGAGCATCTTTCGAGATTCAACGCGAATTTATTATCATCCCCAAACTATCTCACGATCTCAACAAAAACACTACTCCGGTAATTCCGAAATAAAGAGTCTAACAATGTCCACCAGTGCTAATGATTTCTATAACTATAATCAACAAAACCAATCATCCTAATCACCGAAACATCACGAAGCATTTCCATCGACCAATTCGTCGATCGCAAACTAAAAGGTCTAACGTATCTAACAATCCGCCGCTCGCAGCGCGAAGAAAACATTCCGCGTGTATAAGCGTGCGCAATCGGCCCCAATAAACAAGCGGTCATCGAGTCCGCCGTATTTCAAAGCAGGCGATTACAGAAACCGTAAAGCAACATTTCGGCCAAGCAATTCGTTCCCCGTACAGCCGTGTCCCGGATTAAATCCAGCGCAGCGGGCCAATAGCTTTCGAAACGGGCGAACTTGCCGCGCGCGGGGTCGCGGTCCCGCTCCGTCCGCGGGCGGTTCCTCGCCGGCCGTTATCCGTCCGGCGGCGGCCGCTCGCGATCCCTCATCCGCGGCTATTAACGTAACAAATTTCAGCGCGGCGCTAACTAACCGACCGGGTCCGTATGAAGTAATCGTTCACGGAGAGGCGCAGCGCCGCGGAAAGTTTTCGGCGGGCCGGGTCCTCGCGGCGGGATTGCCGCCATTAATCCCGCCACTCGTCGCAGACAGATTACACAATTACGGTTCTATTATCGCGGGAGTACACATAGCTTACGTTCACACATATCACAACGGTTAATACAGCGGCGTCACGTGGAATTGCCAGCTTGAGCAACGCGGAGATACCGAACGCCGAATTTATCGTCTGGCCACCACCGTCGACCCTCGACCCCCGCCCCTTTCGTTCCGAGCGACCCCGGGTTCCGACGGAGCGTCTCTATTAACACTTTGACTGCCACGTAAATATAGATCGCACGATTTTTAATTAGTTGAGTGTGTTCCACGAGTGTACGCGTCGTCGTAATGCTTGACGTGATATTCTTTCAGTAATGAATTCTTTAGTTTTTCACGTAAACGTGTAATTCTTTGTTTCGCTTTGATATTTCGTTAAAATATACTCTACGTAATATTCGTTCTGCTTTGGATAAGTACACGCTTCATTTTTGTATTTCATTGTGTAGAACGAGAGGTTTTTCCAACTGAATTCCACAGTTAACTGGTGAAAATCAGAATTTTTAATTTTGCCTTCGTTATGATCTTGACTGTTTCAATTCTACTTTATTAAGGACACTGTTCCGACTGCGTAGAAGTTTCGACGAGTGTTTACTTCGCAGCTGAGGTATTAACCAGTTGACTGTGTTCGACGAGTATACTCGTCATCGTAAAGCTTGACATATTCTTTCAGCGATGAATTCTTTATTTTCTCACATGAACATGTAATTCTTTGTTTCGCTTTGATCTTTCATTAAAATATCCTCCACGTGCATTCGTTCTGCGTTTGATGAGTACACGCTTCATTTTTGTATTTTATTGTGCAGAACGAGAGGTTTTTCCAACTAAATTCCACAGTTAACTGGTTAATGCAAACTTGAAGATTCTTTTTCATGGTAACGTAAAGATCAACCGAATGTTGTTACATTTATTAAATAAACGAAAGATATTAGAGCAATCTTAATGGAGATTGGAGACTGTTTTGACTACGTAGCTAGTTTTAATTGGCAGTCGAACCGTCGACCGCAAACACTCTCAGATGAAGAGGGAATCTCTATTAACGCTTTGACTGCTATGTAAATATAGATCACACGATTTTTAATGTAAACTTGAGGATACTTTTTCTAGGTAACGTAAGGATCAACCGAATTTTGTTACATATATGAAACGTAAGAGAGATATTAGAGTAATCTTTATGGAGAATCTCTTTTCATTTCTGATTTATTAAGATAACCGTTTTAACTAGGTAGCTAGTTTCGATGAGTGTTAAATTGGCAGTCGAACAATCAACCGCAAACACTCTCAAATAAAGAAGGATTCTCTATTAACGCTTTAACTGCCACGTCACCTAAATAAAAATGACACGATTCTTATACAAACTTGAACATTCATTTCCCTAGTAACGTAAACTAGGAACCAAATTTTGTTACATTTATGGGACACAAGAGAGATACTACAGCAATCTTTACGAGGAATCTTAACCGTTTCATTTCTCCTTCATCGAGACAACTGTTTCCACCGTGTAAAAACTCGAACGACTGTTTACTTGCCAGTCAAAGTGTCGAAATCGCTCAAACGGTCCCGAGTAAAGTCGCGGCGTCTTTTCCAGCGGACGACCGTCGATTCCCCATGATTCACGCGAGCGCCCTTCCAAGTAGCTACTCGAGCACCCGTCAGATCGACGATACGCCGCCCGGTACCTACGCTATTTACAGAGATAGAATCGGTCCAGCTTGTAACGGGATGTTTGATTACCGGCGCGGGTTACGGGCGCAGCCTGCGATACTCTCCGCTTATCGGACGCTCGCCATCTCGCCCCCATAGTTCTACGTATTACGTAATCACGATAACGTCTCTCACCTTTGCGGGATGCGTTCGACGACTCCCGGCGTGGCTCCGTGGTCCTGTTTCCGGAGTCCCGTACACAACGTTCGTCTTGGCACAGTCTAGAGTTTCTTTCGAACTGATCACACAGCGTTGTCGTTCGTTACTCCGCGTCATTCCTTTCATACTCCTGCGTGTCCTGCGTGGGAGATCGTCGAACGAGCTCGGGGTTACGTCTCCGAGCCGAGAGAGATTGCTCTGGAGAAAAGTTTGATTAGATCTCGGACTATCGATTCGGAACATCCGGGGATTTTATACGTTCCTTTCCCCGAGACGTCGAGTTTGCTTTCGGTTAAATTGATTAGGAGTGCATCTAAATGGTTTTTAAACAATTAAGGCTAAGTGGGTTGTTCGGCGGAATCTGAATTAGATATTAACGAGGTGTAATTGAGGGTTGAAGACAGGCTGCCTTTAAAGTTTAAGTGGAGACTTGAGATTTAGATTCAAAATACGAATAAAGGTCTAACTTAGAATTATTCGTTTATCTGAAACTGAAATTCAGGTTAGGCCTAGCATCAATCCCTCGAATGGAGAAACTAAAAGCATCTTCAACCCCTTGGCCTATGATTTATTTCTCAACCCTGATCGGCACGGCTACTTCATCATTAATAATTTATGTAAAAAATAGAAAAATCATAAGCATATATTATACCTATATTTCCTTTTAAGCATAACAGTCGATTACAGAGGAACAACATTTACTTTGAATTCGAATTAACTAATACATATATTTGTTAAATCATGTTGAAAATCTTCACGAGTCTCACTCGTAGGACAAGGGGTTAATAAACCGTCCAACACAGACGACTCTCTGAAACCTCCGAAAGCAATCCCACGAACGAAGAAACTAAAAGGATCTTTAATAAACCGTCTAACCCAGAAGACTCTCCGAAACCTTCTCCGAAAGCAATCCTCATATAGAGACACAACCTCGAGGCTCGTCAACGACTCGCAGAGAAACACCGGTTACGTGTTCGCGATCACACACGTTGGTTCCTACTTGTTCCATGTCGCGCGTGTGCCGGTGTACGATGGTCAGTTGGTGGTGGTGGTGGAGTGGAGGACCAGCTTGAGCGTGGTGAACATCATCAATAGCGCGCTGCACGCCATGACGGATGGCGAGGACGCGATGCTGTGCTGCATGGCGGCGGGATTATCTCCCTTGAACACGTGCACCAGGACACGGGCTTTGCTCGCCTTGCTCGCCTCGCAGGTGTAATTTCCGGAGTGCCGATCGGAGGCGCGTGGCACCTCCAGCCAGCTCTCCCTGCCGATCAGATCGGTGCTGACGTTCACCCCCTGGTCGACGTCGTAGTTGATCATCCGGGAGTTATGGTACCAGAACAAGTAGGATGGCGTCTCGGTCGAGTTTTTCACGAGGCAGTGGAGCTTCAGGGTGCTGCCCGGCCTCACGAACTTCTCCGCCGGCCCAGCTATCTCTGCTCTCGCCTCTGCAAATGGCAGAACGTGACGCGTCAGACGTGAGCTGCTTACCGTAACTGTCCCCATATTGTTTACTAGGGTCCAAGGCGGTTATGAGGAGCGGGACGAGAGGGATGAGGTTATGCATCGTGGCTGGTTAAGGGTTGTACGGGAATGGCGTACCAAAGCTTCCACTCTCTCACTCCCTCTCTCACTCTCTCTCTCTCTCTTCTTTGTTCTTTTCCCTTCTTTCTCGCCCTGTCTCTTCTAGCACTCTAGCACGAGGTAACCGTTCCGCTATCTACCGCGGCGATACCGGTACTAGAATTTTAAGTTAGCTTCATACCTGGCGATGGAGCTTCGATGCTCCAGCTCGCAAATTGTCGAGTCACGAGTGAAGCACACCGAAGCCGAGGGCACGTACTTTCTCGGCGGGCGATGTTTCAAGGATGAAACGAGATGCCACGGTGAATTGTTTAATTTCCGAGATGACGAGATTGCCGTCGGCTTCTTTCTTTTATGGGATATGATTCTTTTAGGGGCGCGGGATACGAGCCCTTGCATCGCGGCGAAGGGCGCAGTCTGAATTTAATAAACGTGAGTATTATTTGTACGCCGGTGGAGCGTGATAGCGTTTTACTCGTTTCAATCTACGGGACGAGAGCGAGCCGTTGCCTTTTCTCTCGGGGATGGAAGTGCGGAGAACGCCGTCGTGAGAAAGAAATCGTAAACGGGTTAATGAGTCATAGGCGAGGCTTGCATTCGGCGTCCGCTTAAAACGAGAGTCTCGATAAGAAGACCGGCGTTTAATATTCAGCGCGGCTTTGATGCTCGTCACAAGCCTGCCTCCGTATTTCGACTGGCATTGATAGTCCCCGCGGTAAGACTGCCTCGATCATGAACATTCTGCTCTTGAATATTTAAAAACCGTCGGCCCTCCATCAAACGCGAACTTCCACGAAACTTCCGACATCTGCCAAATCAGGTCGACGGTAAGTTAGTAACGAATCCAGCCGGGCATCTTGCGGAATAAATAGCGGGGGTGTGGCTCGAGAAAATCAAATCTAATATGGACCAACCTACATAAACCACCTTATAAATACAGTAGTTCCTAACTGTCGGGGTAACGATCCGCGCAGCCTCGAGTCTTCCCGACACTTCGCCGAGCTACCCATCTCTAGTATAACCGAAATCCGGAACAAAAACCCGATCGCAACGAAAAACTGCAGAGTGACCTAGGGAACCACGAAAAAACTCAAGTACACTCTACATATTCAACGTCGTTGCCCAGTGCTTCCCAGATCAAAAACTGCAACGCAAGAAGCTGGAACCGCGAGGAACTCGGCTACATTTTTAAAGAACCACCTACATCTCACAACTTTCCCAACAGCGATGTAACAGAAGAACCTGCAATTCCAAAAACCGAGGGCACATTTCAACGAAACCAACGACACGTCGCGGTACCTTTCTCCCTGCGCGACACGCTGTAGGAAGCGAGGATCCACAGGTCGAAAAACTCCGAGCACATTTCAAGGAAACCAACGACATCCCTCGGCGTCGTTCCCTAAGTACGAGGCAGGAGAAGCTACAATTTCGAAAAAGCCGAACATTTCAGAAAACCACGGACGTTCCGCAGCGGTGTGCCCCGCCGTCACGCAACGTGGATCACAGGGCGCATCCTTCCCGACTTCCGGGA